GAATGTCTTCCCAAAACTTCAGCCTCAAGTATCCATGAATCAAATGATCTATGTGGTATATGAGAGTGTATCGCCCAAGAGTAGATTTAAATCAGTGACTAAACCCCTCACAATTAAACAGTATTTTATCCGCAAAAATGGTACAGTCAATCTCCTGTTATGTCACACCCCCGAGAAGTCACATTTTCCAATATCTTCCCACTTTTTCGAAAACCCAAACCAACCGTATGCTTACAAAGGTAGTTTCTGACTATGTGATATCGCACCCCTCAATATGACTCAGTTCCTGATACGTACTCACTCGTTCGTTGACCGATGCTCGGGACGACCATTGGCCATCTATCCCGAAATGTCTCTCTCAACCAATGACGTTGCATCTAGTATGACTCATTCATGACACTGTTCACTGATTGGATAATGCTTGCGAGGAAGTCAAAACGATGTAAGTGATCGGAGACAGTGTCATTTGAGGTCAAAATGTGCCAGTACCTATCGATCAGAGAGAAACAAAATGCTGAAACAGCCAGGTGCAACTCGGAGCTCCGTAGGTAAGTCACCTGTAATTTCACGAAAAATGTACCATCGAGCGACCACCGGGGAATTTTTGAACACTGGAGAATCTGAGGAAAGATGCCACCTGAAAACCAACGAAAAGTTCAAGGCAGCGAATAAGTCAACTTTGGTTTGGTTTACTGGTATAAGGGAAAAGCACAGAGAGTTCCCAATGGTGGAGAGCATCGTACTTAAGTGGGTAATCTGGCTAGCACTAAGATTGCATCATAATGACTTCAAGTCTTCCAAAGGTTGGTTTCGTTCTTGGTATTCAATCGTACAAAGTAAGAAACAAACAACTCATGTGCATTACTTTATAGATCTGTGGGGAAAGTTTAGTGGTACCACTTGATGCAGTGAACGAGTTTCGAGCTGACCGCAGTTTTATGAATCACGTCATGACATACACTAGCAACAACAAAAGCGAGCGAACGAATAGACGTCTACAGACGCTAATGGTATTCCTTTTTCACTAAGAAAATCATGAATAGATTGCATAGCGAACAATCAGTTTGAATATGGGAAAGAAGTCAATGTTCTGAACACACCCAGTAACAGATATTTCACTCATTTTAGATGCTATTTCCTTCTCACTGTATCCGAACTGGTTTACCCTTGTTTTCTTTGACTTGGTTAACGCTGATGTGATTTTTATGATTAAAATAGTTGTATATTATGGTGGACCTCATATAATCAATTCTGTGGTTAGCTTAACATTGCAACGGAATGGAGGAATATTTATCTGAATTAACTATAAAAATTATTTGGAGTGGTAAATGAGTTCGGTTATAAAGTAATTTTCGTCCCGTACAGAACAAAGGATGGGCGAATTGAACTGGTAGCAACCAGAAGTCTGGTATGAAATGTTTACAACCGATTCAAGACCCGAGATGTTTAGCTGAGTGACAGTTGATGCCCGTAATAAACTTGCAAAGATGAATTGCGTTGTATTGCAATTCAACAAGAAAGGAAAAACTGTTTTGTGTTTTGTTAGGAAAACGGTTTGATCAGCTGCCTGATGGTCAAGTGGGTTTTATGAATTCTTGAGATCCCAGGTTGGCACGGCCCTGATATCTATCCTAGTCGAAACAGCTGTACACGCTTTACATGATGAATTCGTCGTGTAAATGAGGCATGAGCTGAAAAGCTGGGAAGCACTGAACAGCTGCTTCGACGTGGTTGGTTTTCATCAGCAGTGCAAATCCATCGACCCAAATGGGGATCGAACCCGGGACCTCATGGGGTTTGTTTACTCTGTGCGTGATGGAATTCGTTAATTAATTCAGTTACTCAGTTTGTAAAAACACTTCACAATGGCCCAAGTCGAATTGCTGGGTACCACCTTTTGGTTTACAAATAGTAGTTGGACACTGTATGCACGCTATATCACATTTTACGTATCCGGATTAGATCAGGTACATCGTATCATTATTATTTTTATTATTGGTACAGTGGAGTCAGAAAGGATCATGAGTAAACTGTTCATAAAAAGGAACATGAATCAAAATGACACTGAGGAGCAATCTAAAAAAACATCATTGAAATCTCGTATTCCGTAATCATAGGTGTCCAGTGTACAAAATTTGGAACAAGAAAAGAGAAGTTTATTACAGTAATTAGTCCCCCCGCCTAATGCAGAAAGAAAATTAAACTGAAAACCAATACAGGAGTGGGGGATTCGCGTATTGAGATTAATATGATAGTTCGGGTAGATCGATCACTAGCATCGCAATATTATTGCTCATAAAATACAATCAAACAAGATATTCTTCGGAGTAGCTTTGTCAGGGTAAAGAAAATCTCTGAACCAAGTGAAATGGGATAGGGTGTTTCTCTCTAAGACTTTAGAACACACAGGAAGGCATTAAAACCCAGTCGGGAGAAAGCAAGTGGTCACAAACTTGATGATCATATTTAGGGAAACAATAAGTTTTGTAATCAGCAAAGTGTAAGCAGAAAAAACATTTAATCAGCTCTACTGTATACATGTTCAATATTGTTGGCCTGCAAGATAATGACGAAGTTTCCCCAGTGAACTTTGAGAAAGATGTAAGCAACCAAGTCAGGCAGATTAATAAAGCGTTGTAGCTTTGAGGTGGTAAGGGAAATCAAAAAGCTATTAACCCCAGAGCCTGACGGATCCAAATGAAGACCAACCGAAAATTTCTTTGAGGTGGTCTTGAAGCGGATGGGAACTGTTACAACCGATGAGAGACCATCGAATCAGTACGTCAGTTGTATACCCCTGCGACAAAAGTATTTGACTCTCCCGCATCATAGATTTTTGGATTACCTTCACTCCCATATATGCGATCATCACCATTTTTCAGAATCTAAACGACAACTGAATATAAGGCCAAAATACGAATTTCATCAAATTGTTTTGAATTTTAACGAAAGATGTCGAAAAAAAGGAATTTTCACGACGATAAAAGTGTTACACCTCTCCCACCACGGATTTCATTCACCCACTTTGATTTTAGACGGGTGCGACAGGCGCCCTGAGTTTGTACTTCGGCATAGCAAGCGCAGTGAGTTCGAAATTGACAGACTGATATAAACCAAGTCATATGAAATCCTGGTGACGTTGGCTCAGGTCACTCTCAATGACCTTGAAAGAACGAAGACATCGAGGTAGGTCAATATAAGTCATTATCAACCATGGAGCGTTGGAAGAGGCCTGATAAAAATTAGAAACCCGGAACTGATGCCTTTTGTGAGGTTAGTGTAAGCATACATAAGCTAGCTAGAGTGTGTAAAAGGTCCTGATCACACTGCGTACGATGTTTGAGGCGAAGACAGCTAAAAGTCAGTCATTACCGGATTAGACGCCAGGAAAAGCTAGATATGGATGTCATTAAGCTTCGTAAGTCATGCCTCAATAGAAACGGTGTTTAAGCTAAACATTTTAGTACCAACGATAAGAAGACCGCTTGAAACGGTGCATTCATAGAACACAAGAAAACGGAAAGATACATTGTTCTAGCAAATTTATAAGTAGAGCACCTTCCATTGTGAACTGAAACTCATACAACTTGTAATTACAAATGAAATTTCGTCAAATTCAGGGACGAAAATAAGATTAATTTAGATGGACTACTACTGTTAAGATTCGTGGAATAAAGGGGATGAATTCAGTCAGTGGATTAAAGATATAAAACTGCATGATGGCACCGGGTGACTTGTCATTCAACAGTCTAACCGAACCGGTTAGACTGCTTGGAGTGCGAGATTTTGATGCTTACT